GTGTGTGTGTGTGTGTGTGTGTGTGTGTGTGTGTGTGTGTGTGTGTGTACGTGCGTGTATGTGTCTGTCACTATCGCTTTGTGGCGTGTCTCGCTCCCTTACTCCCTCGTGCTTTGTCTCATGGCGATGGCGATCGTACTCGGGCGTTGAACGATTGAGCTATAACATCAGCGCCGGTACCCTTCCCATCATAATAGCGGCGCGGGCACCGCAATTACGGCCTGTCTTGAATGCATCTGACCGCAATCACGTCCCGAGCTCGTTCCAAACTGTCCATTCAACTCCATTGCCTTCATACGAGGAAGAGCGGGCCGGACAAAATTCGAAATGCAGCACGAAAGCAAACAAGAAAAGAGAGGCGCAGCCTGCGGGCGCAACCGATTCTCCTGCGCGCTGCGGGCTCGATCCGCTGCACACATGGGTGCAATAGCCATGGTCAGTTTTGCTTGCTGTTTGGAGGGGCAGCTTTTTGTTTCCTTTTTTGTTTTTCGTTCGGCCGCAAGAGGCGCAGAAAGGGGCCCGGCGCGGGGGGGCGCCAGGGCCGGGAGGCGGGGGCGGGGGCGGCGACGCGGGGAGGGGGGGGGGGGGCGGGGGCGTGCCGAGAGCGGAGGAGTGAACGAGCTTTCTCGTTGCCATACAGAGCGTGTACACCACGTGTACAGAGCGAAACAGAAGGCAGTCGACGACGGGCTCTTTGCAGCGATGGAGGACTTCGCCAGCAAACCGCTCACTCACAAACAACCCCACGAAACCACACACACACATGTGAAAAGGACAAGCTGCTTAGGGCCAGGTCCCACTGGCTAAGAGGATTGGAAGAAATGTCTGAGTCTGGACGTGTGTGTGGACAGGTGCGAATAATTGTGATTGATGTGCTTTTCTGCACCTCAGCGTGGAACACGTCCAGATTCAGACATTTCTTCCAATCCTCTTTGCCAGTGGGATCTAGCCCTTAGAGTGAACCCGCAATACATCCAGTTGAGGTTGGATCTGTAGGGACATGATCTGATCTCTGGTGGTAAGCTGTATGGTGTGGAAGGGACATGACTTGTAATAGGACTTAGTAGCTCAGTGGTTAGAGCACTTGTTGGAAATGCGCGTTGTGGTATAAGGTTGCGGGTTCAAACTCCGCAGCCTTGCACATGGACACCGCGTATGGACACCGGCATGGCACGGCCCTGGGCTCACGCATGGTACTACTACAAACACTGCCTGCGCAGGGAGTTGTATGCTGGTCTAGACTTCACATCGTGTTCGCAGTCCGTCAGGGATGCGTTTTCCCCCCCTAAGACATTCAACGTGCGTTTCCCCCCCCTAAGACATTCAACGTTCAACGTCAATTTCAACGTCGGTGGTCATCGGGAGGGTGGGCATTTGAGGTTTTGGGGCCTTGCAAGGGCCAGGAAAGCGTAGGACCGGTAGCTGCGAGTAGGAGGCCAAGGAGGCCGCAGTCCTTTTTCGAAATTGAAACGGTGTGGGTAGTCCTTTTTCGAAATTGAAACGGTGCAGGTCCTACACGTTGTATTCAAAAACAACCTGTACCCTTTCTATTCGGATTTCGAAAAGAAAAACCTCTTGTATTCCGATAAAATTACTTCTTCTTTTTGT